GAATTTTGGGGATCTAACATCCCCAACAAAATGATTTTGACCAAAAATAAAATATAGTCTATAAGTTTCTATAACGACTTTGGCCGACCGTGATATGCTCGTCAATTATTATGCTTGAAACTATTACGAGTTCATCTTAGTCGGTAAACGCAGACAAATGATCCGCTGACACGGTAGGCTATTGTAATCGTAGCTTCCCGAGGCTCCACCAAGTAGAGGAAGAAGTCTTAACAAGACGTAGAAAGTGTATTTTACAGGCACCCAGAAAATAAGAGGTTGACAAGCATACAAATTGAGTTTATTTATACATGATAGAAACGTCCTTGGAAGAGCCACAGAAATAGCGTACTAAAATAATACATCAACTAATGACAGCGAAGGAATTTCCGGGTGGGAAGTGTAGTCTCAAGGTCAACCGATCAGCCCATACTCGAAAACATACGATCCAAAATTATGACCTTTATCAAGTAAGTTCTGGGGATCTAACGTCCCCAACAAACCGAAAAGAAAAGACATTTTTTTTCTAATCCGTAGGCTGTTTTTTAATGAGCACTAACATCGAATTGATCACAGTTAAAAATATATACATCATTAAATTCACACTGTGGTTTAAACATATCGGTTCTGTGCTCGATTTCGTGTACAATAGTAAGTGTGAATTATGCAAGGATCCTTCACTACAGCATGAAACATCATAAAGTCGACGTTCATTCGTGGGGAAGCAAGAAATAGCTTTCAGTTTTCACTTGTACAATTGTAAACAACACCGTTGATCAATTGAGATGAAGCACTAATGAATTTGGATGCTAGCTCAGTAGTTAATAAGTTGAGTGTTTGTTCGCGAGACTTTAGTTCATGGTTTCGATTTCTGCTTATCAGGTTGTAAATGCCCATCCCATAGTCGCACGATAAAGTCCTTCAGTTATTTCGAGTTTCCAACAGTGGTTCAATGTTAATTGATTCATAATTTTAATGTAACTTTTCCATAGCTGCTGTACATTGTATTTCAACTTTTCTAATTTTAAAATTTTTCAGGATCCAAAATTGTATATTGATACCATACTAAAAGTTCATCAAAAACATTTTAATCTTGTATTATCTGCTTTTGCTTGGGATCCTGCATTTTCACGTGCCTTAGATAAAGGATGTGAACGTTTTATCAATCGTAATGCTGTCACTGATTTAGCTGGAAATCAAAGAAAATCACCTGAACTTTTAGCTAAATATGCAGATTTCTTATTGAAAAAAAGGTTAGTTCATAATTTATATACATATACTTGGCTATTAAGTACACAGACAGATACATACTGTACTTTGTAGGGTAGACATTATGTATACGCAATTATAATACTATTCGATTGGGGAAATCAACATAAATCACTTCACATTTGACAATCTAATGCTATAACTATTTAACCAGCACATTGTTTTAAACAAATCATTTAGGAATATAGATCGTTTGTGAATGTTCAATCATGAAGTGTCCATGTGATATTTATATTTAAGTGAATATTTTTTAAATATTCGAAATTACTTTTGTATATATATAATAATAATAATCAAAGTATTTAACCTACAATTCATAAGTAGTAGGTACGATCCATGCTCTGCTTACTTTGTAGGTAGTTGTATCACAAGGTTTTATTATAAATAGTATGACTTAAAGCGTAGTATAGCATCATGCAAAGAAAAAAAGTCTGATTTATCGACCCACCACATTCAATATGTGCGCGCTTCTTAGTGCTTTTTTCTTTCACTTTCAGTGCAAAAGATATTCAGTTGGATGATTTAGAAGAAACACTTGGACAAGTGGTAAGTGTAATCCTGATGAATTATTCTTTGTTTATAGCTTATCAATCAATAGCAACGTAGAACTTCTTATATACGTACATCAGTTCATGTTACCATACCATGTTAGCACAGAGATGTAATTGTCAATTCAAATCTAATAGTAGTAGAGGTAGTAGATATATTAGCAGTAGTCGGAGCGGTTACGACTAGAAGATATTATTCAAGAAGTAGAAACTAGTGAAATAGACTTAAAAAGATAAAGATAAAGTGATGAGGAATTAAAAAGTTTGAGGTTTGAGAGAACACAAAGAGTGGATGCACCTGCGCCATTGCAAACGGTTTGAAGCCATGTCATTCAGGGTCTCTAACCATCGATTACTAACATCTCGCGGACCCCACCCATATAGTCGATACCTACCAACATGACTCAGTTCACTTGTCAGTGACTTCATGCATTTCTGCCATGTTTTGCTCTGGCCGCCCCTAGTATATGACTTAACTGGTAGAGAGACTGCATAATTCTCACATTTTCTATTTCAAAAAGCAATCAATGCAAACAATTTTAGAATGAAATGACTATAAAATCTCTGAGGAGTATTTACGAGATTATAATTAATGAAAGACCTTTAATTAATACTGAATTGACCTTGAGGATATTCATATACTTATTAAGGTCAAAGGTAGGTTATAGATTAGTAGGAGAAATCGAAATCTACATCTAGAGTTAAGAGTTATAGTTAGGAATCGGTGTTAATGTTTTTCCATCACGAAATTACACAGGCTGTAATGCCATATTGATAGAACGATTTCTGGTTAGCTCTGTTTAGCAAATTCGTATTCCATAGAATCAAGGTTTCTAGCACCATACCAAAACCCTCCTGAATCCGAACTCGGGATCGGTAGTAACTATAGAAGGGCTCCAGGCGGAGTAGTTAGGTGATTTTGGTCGATTGCTTGTACTCCACATGTTGTAACAGTCGTAACAGACAGACAGATACAACGCAGAACTTCGTACGTAAGTACATCAGTTCAGGTTGCCATACCGCATCAGCACAGAGACGCAAATGTCATTTCAAATCCAAGAGTGATAGCAATAATAGAAGTATTAGCAGTAATTTAGAAGATTAGGGAGCGAAGATATGATTCGAGAAGTATAATTCAGTAAGGTAAATTTAGAAGGCGAAAGGTAGAGATTATGAGGAGAAGCTTAGAATTTCATAGAACACAAAGAGTGGATGCACCTGCGCCATTGGAAACGATTCTGAGGCATTTCGTTCAAGGTCTCTAACAATTGGTGACTTTGGTCTCGCGGACCCCAACCAGATAGCCTACATCCACCAACATGACTCAGTTCACTTGTCAGTGACTTGATGGATTTCTGCCATGTTTTGGTTTGGCCGCCCCTAGCTTTCTTCCAATCTACTCCTACACAACAAAACATAGCTCGTCGAGGCAGTCGGTGGTTAGGCATACGTAACACATGTCCCAACCACCTCAAATGATGAAGTCTCAGTACTTCATCTATTGATTTGTCATGCCTACCTAGAACTCGTTTTCTAACGACAGTATTGCTTATACGGTAGGTCGTAAGTAAGTAGAAGTATTTCGCGCCGAAATTCCAGACTTGTTTCTTTAATTTTCATAGATTCATCCATAAATTAAAGTCTCTACAATGAAAAAATAAACATCAATATCTTTTAGTGAAACTTTGTTCTCTTTCATCACTATAATTGTTTTGTCTATTAATTTATTCATTCTTGTTCATTATTTCAGATGAATGTATTTCGTTATATTGAAGATAAAGATGTCTTTCAAAAATTCTATAGTAAAACTTTAGCACGTCGTTTAGTTTATAATCAATCTGTATCGGAAGATGCTGAGGCTTCAATGATTTCTAAATTAAAAGAAGCATGCGGTTTTGAATATACCGCAAAATTACAACGAATGTTTCAAGATGTCAATGCTACTAGAGAATTAAATGCGAAATTTTTAGATTATGTACAAAAACAAGAAGAAGCTAATGGTAGTACAATTAAAGGAAGTAAGTTCTATCTGTTCTTATTTTCCTGATATTATATATGATGATAGACTTGTTGTTATCTTTGCCATACAAATGATGTCTCATGTCAAAGTTTTTAAGTAATACTGTTTACCTGTATGTAAATTTGTCACTTCCACTTGTAAACCGATGAGAAATATCTCTTTTACATCCTTTTTTTAAATGTTTGTGAAGCTATATCTATGCACTGATTTAAAACTGTAGTGTGAAAAGCGTTTGTCATACCATGAAACTAATACTCCATAACTGTTCGTATGAACATAATAGGTTCTAGCATCTTCTCTTGTCGTTGCCAATTTCCTAACCAAACTGTCTAAGCTGGTCTTTAATCATTTTGATCATTTTTATTAGTTGACATTATGTGATTATTCTCTTTACAATGTTAACAGGATGTACTTACTTACTTACTTACTTACGCCTGTTACCCCCAATGGCGCATAGGCCGCCCACCAGTTTTCTCCAACCAACTCTATCCTGGGCTTCCCTTTCCAGTTCTGTCCAATGTTTGTTCATTCCTCTCATATCTTTCTCTATTTCTCGGCGTAATGTATTCTTTGGCCTTCCTCTTTTCCTTTTGCCTTGAGGGTTCCATGTGAGGGCTTGTGTTAACAGGATGTAGTTTGGAAATAAAGCATGTTCAATAGAACATCTGGTTGGATAGATTAGATACCTGTCAAAGATTCAAGAACATTCTTGTGTAAAAATGATAAATATACTGACGCTTTTATTACTGTACGTAGGGATCAAACCTAGGATTTTCGGTCTCGTGCGCCCAATAGTAACTAGCTTCATAATATACTCCTGCAGTTGGAGTAAAATGTTATGACCAGTGAGGTTGAGTCCGTGTTGGGTAGGAGATAGTTTTCTGCTGCAGGCAATGGATGAAGGTTGCGAAACACCATGGGTTGATTGAAGTTGGACAATAATACCACTCGATTCTGACTCAGTGATAGCCTAGAGGTTAAGTGTTCATGCATCAGGTCGAAAATCCTCAGTCTATTCCTGCTTGTAGGATCGTGTGTTTTCACTGCTGATAAGTCTCATACTAGTTTGAGACAGCCATCTAGTGCTTCCGAATTTCTTGTAGTGTTCTACCTTAGATCAGTCAGTACATAATTTCAATTATGAACATTTTAATTATTGTTATTCCAGAAAAAGATACACTTTTAGTATAATTTATGGCCTTTCCTTTATTCATTTTCCATCTGTTCATTTCTTTTGTCAGATATTTATAATATAAAAAGGTTAAACACATTGATTTTTTTTATTTCATTGTTGCTTCGTTTACCTTAAATTAAATCAATAAGTTTGTATTGTAGTAGTGAAGACTATTTGATAGTTTTTTTTCTTATTTGTAAAAAAAAATTCATAATTAGAATAATACCTTTTTTCAATTATTGATGGAAATGGGAAGTAGAGGAGAAAAAATAAATTTTTTTCCTTGATTAAAATTGTATTGCGGTATTAATTTACTTGTTTGTTTGTCTGTTTTCTGTTGATAAACAATAGCAAAACATGCTTGATAGTGAAACAAGTTATGTAAACCTCTGATGTTATACCTGTAAACTGAAAAGGGCTAAAAGAGAGAGGGAAAGACTGAGAGAAACTAGTCGGTGAATTCACAATAAACAGATAACATAACACGATATTATAATTCTTTCTCTTCATTACGACCCAGCTATCCCCGAATGCTTAGTTAGTGTATTCTCGGACACCAATTCACTCAAGACGTTCTCCCAAGATAAGAATACGGTTGAACAGGGAAAAAAAGGGATGATTTTCCAATAACAAGGGTAAATGGAAGTCAAAGAAGTTCAAAACGTCAGTATATTTATAGTTTTCTTGCATGAGAAGATGTTAGAATGTTCCCCCCTCAGTGTCTACTAGCGCTGATTGGATACGAAAGAGCTAATCAGCGTGCAACAACGCAATCATGCTTTAATCCAATCTATGTCCCTCTAACACATGTTGTTTTTTTTAAATAATAAATAAGTCATTGGACGTCATGAAACCAGTAGTAAATAGGCGGTTAGAATAGCTGAATAACTTCTTGGATTGCAAAATACTTCAGTCAGTTCTCTATATTGAGACGTGTTTAGGATATGGACATGATGAATAGCACCTGTGACTGAAGGATGATATTTAACTCCATCGAAAGGGGAACCGAGGAACATAAAGAAAACTGTTAGATTGTTGCTTGTTTGATCATTAATTGTGTTTCAGTGGCTTGAATACTCCCCTGCCTTATGTCAGTCAATCGACATGAGTTCTAGGACAAATGTTTATCACAAACTAGATTATTATACTTCATATCTGCACATAAATTGGGAGTTTTATCAACTCTGATGGCCTGATGTCTAACAAAATCTCAGCATGACAACAGTAGGTCCGATTAAATTTTGCCAACTTGCGTCACTTATAATGTAGACGATATATCTGTCTGTTAACCAAGTAACGAGTTTACTAAATAGCATTTCGCCCCATTCTATTTCTTAAATGTGGAATATGGGTATTAAGAATAAGGAATACATACAGGTTACCACTATTCAATCGTACGTGTCTTCGAAATATTGTTTGAGTATTTTAAAGCAACCGAGTAAGCAGTACCTATATTATGAATAGGGTATTGGACAGTAAACGCAAATAGATTGAAGAGGTAGTGAATCTTCATCAGCTGAAGTGCTTGAGACATATGTCACGTTTCCGTAACTACCTACCGTCTACCTCGATAGGCAATGATTTCTGGAGTAGAGGTAGATCGGAAGAAAACTAGAGGTGGTCAAACCAAAATGTAACGCCAGTCCATCAAGCCACTGATGATTAAACTGCGTCATGTCAATAGATGCAGTTTACTTGATTGGAGTCTGCGTGATAATCATAATCAATGGTTAGAGATTTTGAATGACATGGCTCGAAATCGTTTGCAGTGGTGCATATGCATTCACTCTTAGCCTCTTCTTATAAACTGAGTGTCGAAATATTATACTCTGTTTTATTTTGATATACTTAATCTTCCCATCACTACTGTCACCACTCATACTGCTCTGATATTGAATGTGGTAATTTCCTCTTGCTGTGAAAATGACGGCTTGAACTAATTCACATATTCATTTGGTTTTACATTGCATATAACCTTCTGAATAACTGAAACTATCAATGCTTGTGTATATGACTTACATGGAAAGTCAGTGATGTAATCAACTATTACCTTATCTCTTGATCTGCACATCACCATTTTTATCCAACTTTCTTTTTCAACAGTCACCGTTCCTCATTACCGTGAGTGTGCCATCAATGTATTAGGCTGTATATGTTAGTATCTGTCAGTAGGTGTGCACATGTCCGTAACCTAATAATTTGAACATTCAACTTGTTTTATCTCTGAAGTTTCAGGTTCAAAACTAATTTTTTTGTTTCGGTTAACTGACTACTAGTATGACGCTTAGTTGTTAAGAAGTGAGTACAAAACTGGTCTCTATTTCTGTACTTCATAATTCTAGTGTACAGTAACACTAACATTGAAGTACTGGTACTTCAAACTGACAATTCCACGACAAGATCTAACATAAAGTATAAAACATTATGTAAAGTGATTTATTTTTTGCTTTTACTTCAGTAACCAAACAGAGTGACTTATTTTAATACAGTATTATCGTCTCTCCATCTTGTTTAGAATATTGTTCTATTTTAGACAAGTGAATTATACACGCATCCTAAATATATATATATATATATATATATATATATATATATATATATATATATAATGAAAACATGTTTATTACTTATCCTTTATGTAAAAACTATCTCTGTAAATATCTGAAAAACTATTCAAATTATGAATTGATCAATGTTAGACCACCATTAGAAACCTAGTCCCAATATGCACTAACTAGTGACTAGCTTCGTGTGGGAATTCCCCAAGATCTAGTGAAAAGCTCTGACCAGTGGAGTTTAACCAGTGTTTTATGTGAGGCAGGTAGCCACCAAAAAGAATGAATGAGGTCGCTCAATATCAGGGATTGATTGAATTGAAACATTAACACGGTTGTTGGCTACTGGTTCAGTTTAGGCATTTGTTTACTAAGTGAAAAATCTTTGATTCAATTCCTGTGTGTGAGGATGTGGCTGCGCATTGTAGGCTGGCTTTCCATCAATTCAAGATTTTTCAACGGCAGTCTAACACTGATCAGTTCATGATGTCAGTGACAAACAAAACACAACAATCTCCGCAACTTTCTAATGACGATGTGTTAATTACTTTGAATTTTTCACCTTAAAAAATTCAAAAAAATAAAGACAAACACTGATACACACTGGTGCACTAAATTTCCTTCGTCCTAAGTTTCTGTTCATAGATCAGAATATGTATAATTTTAAAAAACAGTTTCTTCCGGTTTAACCTCTTTTTTTCTTTCTTTCTGTGTCGTTTAAACTTCATGCTACTACTCATCAGTGTGTGTGTGTGTGTGTGTTTGCACATCATGATTTCTTAATCATATTCACCTCACTTACTAATAATAATAATAATCATCGTATCATCCTTGTAACATTCCATTTCTCAATCACATGGACAAACAATGTCTGATATGTGTTGTGAATGCAATAAAAACAAATCATATGGAATTCTTGTTGTATAAAAACATGACAGAGAGAGAGAGAGAGAAAAACACACACACACACCAGAAGACATTTATTTGCTAGTGTCGTTTGTTTGTTTGTTTGGCTGTTATTCTCTTTAGTGTAGTGTAGTGTATACAGTTAGTGTTTAACTGTATTATTATTATTATCAATATTATTGATCATGTGTATTGATTTGATTTTTTATCCCACATTGTTGTATTCAACAAAAAAAAATAAAACAAACCAATAATTATCATTGATGTGATGTGTGTTTACTAAGTAAGAGAATAAATTATGTATCATGGGATAAATTTTCTAATATGATATTTTTTACTTTTACTATTTAACTTACATGAACA